TTTTTCTTTAAAAAAAATTTTTTTTCAACGTTTATTTATTTTTGGGACAGAGAGAGACAGAGCATGAACGGGGGAGGGGCAGAGAGAGAGGGAGACACAGAATCGGAAACAGGTTCCAGGCTCTGAGCCATCAGCCCAGAGCCCGACGCGGGGCTCGAACTCACGGACCGCGAGATCGTGACCTGGCTGAAGTCGGACGCCTAACCGACTGCACCACCCAGGCACCCCTGCCCTGTTGTTATTTAGTGTCCCTCTTTTGCAGGGCCACGCAGGGAGCTCTCTGGAGGAGGCTCCTCCCCCGGCCCATCCCCCTGCTCCACCTTGGACGTCTGCCCAGTCAGAGAGCGGCCTGCAGGCGCCTCCCTCTGTCCTGGAGGCCTGGCCAGCGGGTGGGGGCGGGGCGGAGGGCCGGCCAGGGCCTGTGGGGAGGGCCGCCCGGGCAAGGAGGGTGCTGGCCCAGGTACATGCAGGCCATGCGAGCAGGGGGCAGCCCGCCAGGGTGTCGGTCCAGGGACAGGGGGAGGGCTGGCACTGGGGGTGACCCCTCACCCTCAAGGGTCAACTGTCACCCCGCTTTGCACCACGGCTCTCTTCAAAGGCACCGAAAGTAGAAGGTAACATAGGGAAATTTACAAAACTTCCCTAAAACTGACACTACAGGGGTTATAGTCCTTGCGCCCCAGGTGGGGAAACTCAGGCTCGGCCAGAGGAGACCAGCCCTGCCTCAGCGTCCCTGGCTGGAGCCTGCCCAGCTCTGGAGCTGTGCCCTCCAGCAGCCTGGGGAGACGAGGTGGCCCATCCACCTGTCCCGGACCCGAGCCGGGCCTGATCAATCACCTATCCTATAACGCTGACCCACAGCCAGGCCTGGCCCGCCAGCCACCACCCCTTGTCCAAAGTCCAGGGCAACTCTGCTGCTCGCTTGGTTTGGGACAATTTTGCAACTGCCGCTTGTCTCTGAGTGCAGGGCCAGGAGAGGCCCGGGCTGCCTCGGCCGCTGCCTTGGGGCCACAGCAACCGCTGTGTCCCTGGTGCACCTCATGTCTAGTGCTCTGAGGACGCTGTGGCCACGCTCCATCTTCATTCTGTCTGACCTGTCCTTCGCCTCACTGAGTGATGCAGCCTGGCCCCAGGCTGCTGGCCTGGCCCACCGTGTGCTGAGTGAGCAGGCTGGGCCCCCTGCCCTTGGCCCGAGCACTGTCCAGCGAAGCCTTGCACCTGTGGGGCGACCTTCCTTGGTGGGGGGCGGGGGGG